GTGAACTATGTTCAGTGGAAAAAAGGAAGGCCTTCAATGGGATGAATTGACACAGTGGCTGCAAAATGGGCTCAAACATAGCAAAAATTGTGAGGATGGTGTGGGAACGGGCCATGTTTCGTTTTGTTATACAAGGGGTTGCTATGAGTCAGAGCTTATGCAATGGCACCTGATGATGTGTTTATCAATGAAAACTTCACAAATGAATAAGTTCCTCTCTTATTGCTCGGAGAAGGATATATCTAGGACCCAATTCTTTTGTTGTAAATATATATGTAACAAAACATTTCACCACATATATGAGCTCAGTGGCATCAATGAGGTTTACCATGTGTTCAACAATCACCATTATCCATATGCTGGGGCCTAATTTTAACAACTGTTATTGCAAAAAACATCTGGTGACCATGTCTGACTTCTCCTGACTTCATAAGGGGGAAAGAGAATGAAACTCAAAATCAGCCTAAGGCTGATTCCTATGAAGCTTCCACCCTACAATCTTCTTACCCTATTCTGTTACCATCTATCCCTCCCCACATCATTCTCTGCTTCACATCTGGTTTCAATATTCCATTGCAATGGCCACACAGAACTCTTAACGATACTCATGATTATGGGGTTTACTAGGGGTGTGAACAGGGTGCAATTCAGGATCAAAACCAACTCAGGAATGTCTCTTGTCTGCCATACTGCAGGCATGTCTCAACCTGTTTTCAACCTTTCAGCCATGTGGTCTCTTGCCCTCTGCCCTGCTCAAGCATGTGTTACAAAGTTCTTTTAGCCAATCTGTGAATGTCCAAAGGACATGTTATGTAATCCAGTCTCCTGTCTGTATGTACTCAGCTTTACTCAGTCCTTGGGTCTAAAATCTGAAGCTGCTCTGTCCCTCCACGCTGTCGCCTCTGACATCGCTGTTTCTCACACTTCATTCGTGTTCTTCCTTCTTAATGATTCTGGGGTCTTCTGCCTCAGCTTCTGAGATGACTCCTTTTAAACCTAGCCTAGAGGGCAAAACTAGAATTCTGTAAATCTTATTTGCATGGTCCATCCATCATATGCAGATGCTACAACTTTGCTTGCTATAAGTGAAGAGGATATAAATACTTACTGATGAAGATCAAAGAGCACAGCCTTCAGTATGGATTGCATCTCAATGTAAAAAAAAATAAAAATCCTCACCACTGGACCAATAAACAACAGTCTTATCAATGGAGAAAAGATAGAAGTTGTCAAGGACTTCATTCTTCCTGGATCAATCATCAACACTCTTGGAAGCAGCAGTCAAGAAATCAAATGACATGTTGCATTAGGCAAATCTGTTACACAAGACCTTTTAAAGTGTTGAAGAGCAAAGATGTCAGCTTGAGGACAAAGATGCGCCTGACCCAAGCCATAGTATTTTCAATAACCTCGTATGCATGCGAAAGCTGGACAGTGAATAAGGAAGACCGTAGAATTCGTGCATTTGAGTTATGGTGTTGGAGGAGAATACTGAACATGCCATGGGCTACCAAAAGAACAAACAGATCTGTTTTAGAAGAAGTGCATCCAGAGTGCTCCTTGGAGGCCAGGATGGCCAAACTTCGTCTCTCATACTTTAGACATATTGTCAGGAGGGACCAGTCATTGGAGAAGGATATCATGTTTGGTAGGGTGGAGGGTCAGAGAAAATGAGAAAGACCCCCAGCGAGATGGATTGGTAAAGTGGCAGCATCAATGGGCTCAAACGTGGCAACAATTTTGAGGTTGGCTTAGGACTGGGCAGTGTTTTGTTCTGTTATGCATAGGGTCTCTATGAGTTTGTACTGACTCAATGGCACCTAACAACAACCCAATCACTGGAGTCCTGGTGTGGCGCTGCAAGTTTATGCAAAGTTGATGTTTCAGGCTTACCAGCAGCTCTTTGGAAACCATACACAGGATTGCTATGGGTCGGAACCAACTCAATGACACTTAACAATCACAACAACAACCCAATTACATTGGATAGAAAAACCAGATCAAGTAAATTCAAGGCACCACAACTATATAATAATCATCCTAGTTCACTACAGATTTCCTTGAAACTTTTCAAAGATTGAGTATTACCATTTCATTAAAGGATACAAGGATGAAGATCATGAGGTAAATCCCGAAAATCAAGTAGAATAAATCATGAGACACTCATATTTTATATTTCATATTTACCTGGCACAACACATGTTGGTATTATCTACTTATACTAGAATAGTATTAATTGATATATCAATTATTTTTTTGAAAGTATGAGTGTATGAAATAGCACTAAGCAAAAACAACAATGAAAAAACAAAAAAGAAAAGCACTTTAGTAGAATTTTTGATATTCTAATCAAGTTGAGGAGTCCTGATATGGTGCTGTGGGTTAATGTGTGAGACTGCAAAGCCGTTTGAACTGCAAGGTCGGTGGTTCAAGCTCACCAGCTGCTCCTCAGAAACCCTATACAGGGTCATTATGGATCGGAACTGACTTGATGGCCCTTAACAACATCAATAAATCAAGTTGAAATGTTTTTCTTTTAATCTCATTTTAGCACTTTCTAATTTATTATTGCATCCACAATACAGTAATTAAGTAGGTAATTTGTTGCTTTTATTTCTGATTGACTGGACTAGTGCGAAAGTAAGAGAAGTAAAATAATTGGACAAATACAACACTTAACAGTGATGATATTTTTTTGGACAGCTTAGAGACAGTGAGTTTGAAGACAAAAATAATTTCCTGAGAGTATTGTAAATCACATAGACTGACCTTAAAAAAAAAGAATCACACAAAAAACAAACCTATTGATACTGAGCCAATTCCTATAGCACAGAGTATGTCTGCCCCTTAGGGTTTCCAAAGGTGTAATATGGAAGCAGACTGCCATGCTTTTCTCTCACAGGTGGGTTTAAACTGCTGACCTTTCAGCTAGCGGCAAAGCACTTAAACACTCTTTATGTAGATTAGATTCTCAGATCCTTTGCATACATATAATTGAAATTAAAATTGAAGATGGTCAAATGCTCTTGTTTATCAATATTTATGATAAGTCAAAGGAAATATTTTAAAAAGGAAACTAGGGTATTTCATTAATAAACTATTAGTAGGTGCCCATTAGATTGCAGCAATATATTAAGCATTCTGAAAATTTAAATAGAGATGTATTCACCAAATTTCTCTGCTTTATAAAGAAGCTAGTAAAGAAAAAAGGCATTCTCTAATAGGGAAGTGTATTGTTGAACATTGTGAATTGAATATTAAGAAAGGAGAGGGTTGTATTTTAAAGGGTGATTCTACAAAAGCAGAAGGGAGAATAGGCTGCTCTTTCAAGATTTCCAGTATCCTATTTTTTAATTATATGGAAAAAAAAGAGACAGGCGAGATTGTGGAGGATAGAAATTTTGAATATTTTATTATCTATTACCCTAGATTGTTGATCTTGAAGTACAATAATATGTTTGACAAAACTGAAATGAAATGAAAATGTTGTAAGGATGTAGGGTGTAAAAAAAAAAAAAAAAAAAAAGACCATGGAGAAGTACACAGATGCTATGAAACACTTTGCAGTTCCCTGAGGGGTAAGAAGAGAAATTTACACAATCATGGAGCACAATAATGTCATTTAACTACTGCAGACAGCACGCAGCATCTGTTCAGTGGATAAAGCAAAGGACAAAGGATAAGGGTCCATTTCTATTTCTGTCATTGATTGCTATGTGACCTAGAGGATCAGATTTTTGACACTGGGTATCCCGTAGTTTAAAAACAATCAATATATCCTAGAGTAATTTTGGGTATCGTTTTTTGATATTTATAAATCATTAGCAGATTTTTACAACTGATCTACCATAAAAGCAGATGTTACCAATTCTTTCTCTCACTTGATAATTTACAGAACGAATAAAGAATGACAATTGCCAGCCACCAATCAGATGCCTACTAGAATTCTTCTTGTTTGTTTTTCATTTATACTCATCCTTGAGCCCATCATGGTTTTTTTCCCCAAGCAATGTTCTTTTATCCACAGTTGCTTTGCATTTAATTTAAATGAAAACAAAACAAACAAACAAACAAAAAACCCAGCTCCAGGTGAATTCAGTATTTAAATTGCAGTCTGTATATTCTACTTTGGAAATTGAAGCATCTATGTTTGTAAGGCTTCTGTTAGTCAAAGGATGAATAAGTTATATGCAAATATCCAGGAGTCCTAGTAGCAAGCATGAATTATAGCAAATTCATCATGTTTGCATCCTTTTACAGGCTGTTTTTTGCTAGCTTTGAGGGAAATATTAGGTTTATATATGACTCACACTCCTACCATATTTAGAAAAATATTACATAAATAAGAAATTTGAATGTGGAGAAAATAAATAGATAAAAATATATTTCTTTCTTACAGGTTGATGCACAATATGGAAAATAATGCCTTTTCTTACTCTAAGTATATATGAATTGTCCTATTAAAGCTCTAAATAAAATTAACATAAAAATAGCCCACGTCTTATTAAATAACTAATTTTCATCTATTGCCTAATGTCTGATTTCCAAGAAATTAGATGAGTTCATATAGTTTAATATAATCTATTATCTAGCATTGGGAACTGACCTCATCAATTGCAATGTTATCACAGTTCCCATCAATTCAATTCTATAGAATTGCAGTTGTATTTTACATATCTATATCTATACATATCAAAACACAAAATATCCTATCTGTCTATCTATATATCTAGTGATCTAACTAATTATCTATCTATGTATCTATCATCTATCTATCTGAATTGTGGCAAACAATAAAAAATCAGAGACCCTAGAGTATAAAAAAGAAGAAAGGAAGTGAAAATACTTGACTGTATTTTATGTCTTGAGCCCAACACAGAACATGTACCATTCTGTGGATATTAACATATAAGTAGAATCTGATTATGGAAGAAAATGTGTTTGTAAAATCAGCCTGCTTTGCAAACGTTCTCTCAAGACAATTTCTGTGGATACGATACCTTCCGTAGGGGTTTGAGCTTGGTCTCCATTATGAAGTCATATTTGCAGAGCTCACAACAGCGTGTGTCTGAACTCTTGATCCACTGGTGAAGGCAGGACTGGTGGACAAAGCGAAGGGTGCCTGTGCAGCGACAGGGTGTGATGAGGGGGCTCTCTTCATCCCCTTCACAGTGACAGATCCTGGGGAACAAAACATCAGCAGTATGAGATCTTCCAGACAGATTTTCTCACTAATGATGTTTCATTCTTGCATATCCTATGCTGTACTATTGCAACCTGAGACTTTGAACAGGATATTGCAACCCAACATTGAAGTCAGAACCAAGTCTATAATTAATATCACTTTCTTTGCACTTTTATGGTAACTGCTACACTCTTCAGTCATATTTGAAGGTATTAGATACTAGAATATCAGAAATGCACTGTCATGTCATTCCTGCACTGATGCTGGTTTTAACAGAACAACTATGGAGCTACTCAGCATCTATGCATGCATTTATATAAAACATTTATTCTTTATAAGTATCCTGAAGAGTACTGCGGTCTGCTAACTTCATTGCTTTATTTTGATGATAGTTTCATGGTATAAGAATGTGGAACATCTGAACAAGTTTAGGGAAACTATAGACATTTAGCCTGCGAGTATTATAAAGTTTTTCTTAGGAAGTTGTACACATATTCGGTCACAATGAATAGTCTACACTGTCAATTGTCATCATTGTTTAAAAGTGACAAAAAGCACTAGTAACATGAAGTCCAAATACAGTAAATTCCATTACTTGAAATGTTCATATTTGTTATGAATACAGTGTTCAACTGAAGTTTCTGAATGATCCTGAATTCCAGTTTTATAGAATTGTAATCTATGAAATCATCATTAATTTTACATTCAAATTATTTGACATATTTTGCTTTTTTCCTCTTTGCAGGAAGAATAATCCTTTCCTATCTCAAGGTTGTAAATTCAAATTTTGGACTTTCAAATAATTACTAAAATTTAGTCAGTTGTTAGAAATTGCTAATAAATTTAATTGGAAATATTGCTTTAAATCTGTTAGAAATATAAATGTAGCACAATTAAAGATGCATGGATTTATTTATTTTGAGCTAGGTCATACTAGCAGGCTGGAAGAATGTATGAATTGCGCTAAGACTCTTCCTTTTAGGCCTATATGTTCTGCTCTTCAGAAGTATGCATTGTAAATATGTATGTTGTTGGTGTTAAGTGCTATCAAGTAAATTCTGACCCATAGCAACCTTGTATAGGTTTCCAAGGAGCAGCTGGTGAGCTTGAACCATCAACCTTGCAGTTCAAATGAGTTTGCAGTCTGACGCATTAGCCCACAGTGCCACACCAGGACTCCAAATATGTATGTGTGTGTATATATATATTTTGTTAAATGCTGCCGAGTCAGTTCTGACTCAGCAATCCTGTTTAGGGTTTCTATGGACAAGATCACGGTAAGCAGCCCAACGATTATCTTACAGTGTCACACCAGGAAACTCTATCTATGTGTGTGTGTGTGTGTGTGTGTGTGTGTGTATATATATATATATATATATATATATATAAAGTGAGTTATTGAAGTATTCTCTGGACAAATTATTGAATGATGCAGAAAGCATCCAAAGAAGATGGAAGGATTACACAGAACCACTGTACCACAAAGAAATGGTCAATGTTCAACCATTTCAAGGGGTTGTTGTTGTTGTTGTTGTTGTTGTTAAGTGCCATCGAGTCGGGTCCGACCCATAGCGACCCTGTACAGGGTTTCCGAGGGTGTAAATCTTTACGGGAGTAGAAAGCCTCATCTTTCTCCCACGGAGCGGCTGGTAGTTTCGAACTGCTGACCTTAAGGTTCGCAGCCCTTTAGCATATGATAAACAGCCAATGACCCTGAAGGAAGAAGTCCAGAGTACAGTGAAACCATTGGCAAAGAACAAGACACCAGGAATTGATGGAATAAAAATAGAAATTTTCAAACAAGTCAGGCAGCACTGGAGGCACTCTTTCATCTATGCCAAGAAATTTGAAAGACAACCACCTGGCCAACTGACTGGAAGAGATCCATATTTGTGCCCATTCCAAAGAAAGGTGACCCAATAGACTGTGGACATAATTGGACAATATCACTGATATCTCATGTGAGTGTAGTTTTACTAAAGGTGATACTGAAACGGCTGCAACCATACACTTCTAGAAGTTCTAGAGAACTTCTAGAGGTTTAAGGTGGATTCAGAAGAGGATGTAGAATGAAGACTATCATTGTTGATGTCAGATGGATCTTGGCTAAAAGCAGAGAATAACAGAAAGAAGTTTCCATTTGCTTTATTGACTACACTAAAGCTTTAGATTGTATGGATCATGACAAGCTATGGGCAAAAGTGCCAAGTATGAGTATTTCTCATGAGCACTTAATTGTGCTCATGAGGAACCTGTGCATAGATCAAGAGACAATTATTTGAACAGAAGCGGGGAACACTGAATGGTTTAAGATTAGGAAAGGTGTGTGCTAGGGTTGTATGCTTTCACTATACTTATTCAATCTGTATGCTGAGCAAGAAGTTTTGTTATATGAAGAGAAACATGGCAACAGGATCGGAGGAAGTCTCATTAACAACCTGTGATATGCAGATGATACAACCATGCTGGCTGAAAGTGAAGAGGACTTAAAATACTGGAAAATAACATGGCTTGAGTCAGAGGCACCTTAGTCATCAAACTGACTTCATTGCTCTTGAAGTCGTTAAGGAGGTCTTGTGAAGCAGATTTGCCTAATGCAATATATTGTTTGATTTCTTGACTGTGGTTTCCACGAGTGTTGATGGTTGATTCAAGCAAAATGAAGTCTTTGACAACTTTAAGTTTTTTATCTATGTATCTTGATGTCGTTTATTGGTCTAGTGGTGAGAATCTTTGCTTTCTTTACACTGAGCTGCAACCCAGACTGAAGACTGTGGTCTTTGATCTTCTTCAGTAAGTATTTTATGTCTTCTTCACTTTCAGCATGCAAAGATGTATCACCTGCATATTGCAGGTTGTTAATGAGTCTTCCTCCAATCCTGATGCCACATTCTTCTTCTTATAATCCAGTTTCTTGCCTTATGTGCTCCATATACAGACTGAAAAAGTATGGTGAAAGAATACAGCCTGGAACACACCTTTCCTAACTTTAAACTATTCATACAGAACTATTCCTTGTTCTGTATGAACAACTGCCTCTCTTTGTCTATGTACAGGTTCCTCATGAGCACAATTAGAGGTTCTGGAATACTAATTCTCCACAATGTTGTCCATACCTTGTCATGATCCACACAACCAAAGGCCTTTGTGTAGTCAATGAAACACAGGTTAAAATCTTTCTGGCATTTTCCGCTTTCAGCCAAGATCCATCTAACATCAGCAATGATATCTCTCATTTCATGCCTCATCTTAGTCCAACTGAACCTCTGGCATTTTTTTGTCAATGCATGGTTGCAGCCATTTTTGAATTATCTTTAGCAAAATTTTATTTCATGTGATATTAATGATGTTGTTCAATCATTTCCGCATTCTGCTGGGTCACTTCTCTGTGTGTATCTTAGCTATCTCATGATGTAATTTTTAAATGTGACTATAATATTAGTGATTGAATGCAAACATGGTGTATGCCACTTAATGCCATACAAAACTGAAGAATAATGATGAATCATATTCATAACGTGGGAGAACATTATGCTTAGTGAAATTAGTCAATCACAAAAGGACAAATATTGTATAAGACCATTATTATTATTATTATTATTATAAACATACTAGGATTTATTACATTTGTCTATGTTACTGGCTGCTCAGATTCACCAAGGCCTTAGTCATCTGTAACTATGGATTCTTGACATCTGCCTGGTATCACATAACTGGAAATCTGATTAGGTGGCAGTTCAACCACTAACGTCACAACTGTGACCATTTAGTGCTTTTATAAGAGTTCAATTGTAACATGTAAAGACTTGGTTATAACGGGAGGGTTTGCAGTTGCTGCTGTGTAAGGCAGACTTCAGGAGGAGGTACAGAACCTTCTATTTACTGAAGCACAACTCAAAATGAACGACAAAGGCCAGCGATGCCATTATGCAGGGAAGCCCAAACTCTGCCTGACATTTAAAAAGCCTATGAAAAATGACCTTCCCTCTTGGGACCCTATTGCTACATCTCAACCACTCTCTCCCTCCTCAATCTGTCCAGTCAATCACTCATCTACCATCCTGGTTACCAGCTCACACTCCACGCTCAGGGTGGGCATGGACAGGTGGGTAGATGGGCAGGTGAATGGACGAAGGGGAAAAGGCAACATTCTCAAATGTTCTTGAATTGGATGTTCTTGATGACACCTTCTGGGATGAAAGCAGAGCTTGCAGTAAGGAAATTAATTTGGACAGAGATCTTGTATGACTGAGTAAAGACAATTTCTGGACCCTATGAGATCATCGTAAAAATATTTTGACAACCCAAGAGGAAGCCTATTTGTCCCTTTCCAAATGGCAGTAATGTGACTACTCCTGTCAAACTCCTGGGATGGGCAGTTACAGCTACACACTTGGGAAGTGGTCAAGTATTGAGTCTGATGTCTGAGGAGAATGCCAGTCCACTTCCACTTCAGGGCTGGCTGAGTCCCGGTCTCTTTGATAACGGCGACGGGCCTGACTTGGATGGCCTTCTTGCTGATGCCCATGTGGTGGCAGGTGTTTACCACATCCGTCACATTCTTGTAGGATTCAGGAGACTCTTCCATAACCTGTTTGGGCGTGGCAACACTGATTGCAATTCACATATCTGCCAATTTGTCCTGGAAGTCTAAGTTACGTTGAGATTTTGCTCGAGACAACGCATGGCCCGCTCCATGACAGGTGGTTCCAATGTTCGGTGCCAATGAAGACGTAACTACAGGTTCCCATGGTGCCCCCGATGAGCACCATCTGTCCAGTGAGCTGGTAATCCATGGCGATGAAGGGGTGATGAGGCGGGGAAGCCCAGCTGGACCCCTTCCTGTGTACCAGCAGTGTCGGTTCCTTCCCATCCACCATGTGCTGCTCCTCCTTGGTGATGTTGTGAGACACGCCGTAGATGGCATGGAGGTCCAAGTCATCAGGGGTTGTGTTGAAGACCTAGGAAAAAACCTGGTGGGTTAAGAAGGTCATGG